CCAAACCTTCGCCCACCATCGAAGGTTTATACTCCTTTCGTTCGTTCAAGTCCTTATAGTACAAAGCTGATTGAACTTCTTCAAAGGTCGGGGACTCCCTTCCATACAAGAGAGTTTCTTTGAAGTGAGCATGTGATCTGGGCAAAGCACACAGCAGCAACAGTGTTTGATCTTCATCGTCGATCTTCACATCAATATTTTCAAGATCAATAATCAACTTGTTGAACATATCTAACTGCTCAGCCAACACTTTGTTTTCACTCATCTTGAATGAATATAAAACTTGCTTCACGTAGAGTCGATTCACCAGAGATTTGGTCATGTACAAACTTTCAAGTTTCACCCATAATCCCGATGTTGTAGTCTCCTTTGATACCTGTCGAAGAACCTTATCACCAAGGCTCAACAATATTGCGTAGAGGGTTTTCTTAATCATGTCTGTCTTTTCTTTGCCGTTAACGCAGTGTCCATGACTGCCTCACCCTTTAACGCTTTCTGCTGAACCAATAGGGCTTTCATCTTCAAGCGCCACATACCGAAGTCGTTCACTCCGGTGAACTTTTCAATCTCATACTTTGTTGAAAGCATCTTCTCCACGCTCACCGCACCAATTTGTTGTGAATCGGATACCTTTAAACAAAGTATAAACGGTTTCTTAGCAAGAAACACACAAGGGTTAGGGTTAATAAAAAAACAACAAGGATTGGTTATTAAACTGTTATTCTTTCTTTTCTCTTAGAACAAGATTACAAGTATACAAGAATAACAAAATAACCTCTCTCTCTTGAAATTAGGATTTTATCTTCCTATTTTTCCTTATGCCAAGATTGAGAAACTAGCATCCTATTTATAATAAAATAGCACACTAACCTAATGGGCTTTTTAACAATTACTCATTACAAGCTAACTTAGGGTACAAGCTAACTTAAACAATTGGGCTTACAAGCAAGGTCCAATTCAACATGCTAACAACCCTAGCAATATTGACTAATTGTTAGAACAGACTTCGACTACAATATGCATTACTCGCGAACAGACTTCAACCATACTAGAGTTCGATCCAACATCTCACATATACTTGGTCCATAAATTATAAAATATAATAAATAACTAGTATCTAAACATTGATGTTTTTAGAGGGATAGGATATCTCGAACCATGAACTTAGAGTTTAATTTATCATATAAGAAGATTGTATGTTCTGAAAATTCTTTTTTTTTCCTTTCTGCATCATAAAGCTACCATGTGGATAGCTTATCCATCTTCCCTATTTTCTTTATGTTGCTCAACCAAACGCACTGCTACAATTTCCTGCTTTGGAAACATCTTCACATATCATCAACATCACTTTCTGCTTATTCAAAAATTTAGTTTTCCTTTCATCTCATTTTACCCACATCCTCTATCTAATTTGAATTTAACAATATCTCTCATTCATCTCTCTTACTTTTCCATTTTATCCACAAACCCTTCATATCTTCTCCAACTTTTGTTTCTCCTCTGACCATAATTTCTTCTCATCAAAATGACAAAACTCTACACAGTAAAATCATTACTCCTCATCTTCATTCAGTCTAATTGTACAATACTCTCTCTCATTTTGATTTTAGGTGTTTTATTTTTGTTAATAACTTGTATTGTTATCATATCTGTTCATCTTCGATAGAGATTTCCATGTCGATGGTATGTTTTGATCAAGCATGAACCACTCTTGGTCGTTTTTAATCTTTTAATGAGTTCTGATTGGTTGATGGTAGATCTGGTGACTTAAGATATAGCATGTTGTTAGTAAGGAGGTTTATTAGTTTGTTGGTTCCTTTTGATTGAGGTATCATTGTTTTTCGTGGTTTGGTTTGTTTCTTTTTTTCTTTTTTTTCTTTTTTTTTGCAATTGTTGTTGTTCCTTTTGTTGCGGTTATTTGTTTTTAAGTGTAGTATTTGACACTTCTTGTATTTCGAGACATTCTCTATTGTACTTTATCAATCTCAACTATTTAATATATTTTTATTTGCCATAAAAAAAAATTTATTTGACGTACATTCTTACTTGGTTGCAACCGTAAGGAGAAATAGCAACTATCAAAGTGTATTAGAGTTCTGATTCGTTCACTTTTCGAGCATTATCATTCACTTATATCTCGCTTCCTTAATTTCGAATTGAAGTTATTTTTCTAACAATTGATTATAAATAAATTATTAATAAATTTATACTTAAATATATAAGAAAGCTAAAGTTTCCTCAACTTTCACATGGCACCCCAAATGTTAGGACATCTCTATAAGAAAAAATTTGAAGGTTTATTTAAAGAGGTAACCATAAATGGAAAATTTGGAAATTTGGGACATGGCCTACTTATGCACCATTCTTGCAAAGTACAAAGACCTTAGAGCAGATTTATGTACAAGTATAGTGGAAATCATCAATGATGAATTTTATTGTGTGCGTGATTGACAAGGACATCCATATTCTAGCATATAAACTTAGATAGCGATTGACAACAAGTAATCAACTTCATTTTCAAGTATTTATCATGTAAGTTTAATGGTAAATGTTTCATATTATAATCTTAATCAGCAAAATTTAAATCTCTTTTTGTTTTATTTGTAAAAAAATCATTTTTAAATTTAAATAAAATAGCAACAAAATTCAGACATTAAATTTAAGAATGCGTATCTAGACAGACAATTTATGGAAAAAGAACACACTTGGTCGGTTCATTTGAACAAGCAATATGATTACCCCACAGCATTACTAAAGTGGTCCTTATTAGATTCGATGAAACATTGATTTTTAGAGGACCACTAATTACAAAGTTGCATATTTATAAAAGTTATATATTTATAATATATGGCAAAAATATTCTCTAAGTCTTTTAAGTTACTTTAAAATATTAAGTTAGTTATTTAAGTTTTTTTTTAACGATTTGATCTTTTAGGTTAAGTAACGTTTGCGTCGTTGACTTTTTTGAAAATTTTCGTTATACTAAATTGCAAATTTATATACCATTTAAACTAGTTTTTCGCGTTGATCATGAATATGCAATCAAATTTATTAAACAAGTTACGATTCATGAAAATTAGAGAAAAAAATGGACAAATATATAATAAAAAATCGTTTGATCCGACCAAAATACACAATCAAACGCAAATTTAATTACATATTTGTGATCAGCGCGAAAAACCAGTTCAAATTATATATGAGTTTGTAATTTATTGTAATGGAGATTTTTAAAAAGCTCAACGACGCAAACGTTACTTAACATAAATAATCAAAGCATTACAAAAAAAAAACTTAAATGACTAACTTAATATTTAATTAACTTAAATGATTAAAACAGTATTTTTGTCTTTTATTAAAAAAAAGAGTAAAAATTACACACACAAAATTGTATTTAAAATTTTCTATTTTTTTACATTCGACTGTTAGAGTTACTCTCATACAAATTTTATATTTTAAATTTATTAAATAATTAATTTATCTTAACATATATAAAAATAAGTAAACTCTTAATATAAAGTCTCAAAAATATGAAGAATTTATAATTGTTAATTTTGAATATATATATTGATGAAATAATATTAATTTTGTACATATTACAAGTGTTATGTGTTGTTGAGTGATCAGGTCTAATGCTAGAATCTTTTTTGTCATGTATTTAAATCATGTGTCCCTCGTCTCAGAATTTTTATTTTTGTTATTTGTTAAATATGGAAAAAAAATTATTCATTAAAGTTGAACCCGCTACCCAAACAAGTATTTTTTTTTTTTGGAATAAAGATACTTTATTGAACTAAAAAACAGATACAGAGCAAAGTGGTCTCAAACGAGATTCAGCTATCTAAAGGACAAACCCAACAACAAACCTAAGGCAAGAGCAGTCTTCTTATGGTTTTCCTAAGCTTAGTTTTCAATCAGCACCTATTGGTAATAACATCAATGATGTTGCTCACAACATGCTGCCAACATTGATTAGCACCAAAACACACATCACATCTAATCCTCCATAATTTATATAAAATCTCAGCTAAAGCACATTTCAGGATTTGAGACTTGGGACTCTTGGACTTTGTCTGATTTATCACCCAATTCAGCTCTAAACTCCAACACTCTAGGTTGTGATGAATATCCAACCAATCCAGCACTTTGCTCCAAATAGATATCAAGTTGTGGCACTTGAAGAAAAGGTGGTTAGCATTCTCACTCTCATTACAGAAACAACATTTCTCCTCAGTTATATGCCCAAATATCTTGAGTTTATCTTTAGTAGCCAATCTACTATGACAAGCAAGTCATACAGTAAATTGGGACCTTGGCCTGGCCTGGTTGTTATGCAATAGATACCTCTAATTGACAACCTGATTCGAAGAGTTCAACTCGGCATAAACTTTGTCAGGTTTAAACTTTCCATCCTGCACACTAAGGTTCCATTAATTCATCAAAGTGACAATATACCTCACCTTCAAGATGGGAATTCTTTTCAATCTTTGAAGGATTCTATGTAAGTATTCCATAATGATCACAAGAACTTGATGAATTCCATAATGATCACATATTGAACTTGATGAAAATTAAAATTGGGAATTCTTTTCAATCTTTGAAGGATTCTATTTAAGTATTCCATAATGATCACAAGAACTTGATGAATTCCATAATGATCACATATTGAACTTGATGAAAATTAAAATTGGGAATTCTTTTCAATCTTTGAAGGATTCTATGTAAGTATTCCATAATGATCACAAACAACAAAGGGGAGATAGAATCCCCTTGTCTTAACCCTCTCTTGGCTTCCAGAATTTCAGATAACGAACCATTCAAATAGAATTTGTAGGACACAGTTTTCACTGTCAGCATGATCCATGCTATGAATCCATAATGATCACAAACTGCAAAGGGGAGATAGGATCCCCTTGTCTTAACCCTCTCTTGGCTTCCAGAATTTGAGAGAACGAACCATTCAAATGGAATTTGTAAGACACAATTTTCACTGTCAGCATGATCTACCCTATGAATTTCTGAGGAAAATTAAGCTCTTTCATGATGGACTCTAAGGTGTTCCGCTCAACAGTGTCATAGGCTTTTTGGAGGTCTATTTGGATAAAACACTTAGGGGCGCCACTTCTCATGCTATAACCTCTAATCAGCTCATAAGCCATTAGAATATGGCCATGGATCTTCTTGCCAGGCACAAAAGCTGCTTGGCTACTATGAACAATACTAGGCAATACTTTTCCCAACCTACTAGCCTTAATCTTAGAGATCACTTTATAAAAGACAGTACAGCAAGATATGGGTATGTAGTCCTTTATCAAAGTAGTTGCAGTGAACTTAGGAACAAGAGTGACCAAGGTACAATTAGCAGCTTTGTAAAGTTTGTTTTTCTCAAAAAAATGTTTGGCTGTCTTGATGATGTCCTCTTTAATAATGTCCCAATAGCTTTTTAAAAACTTAGCATTAAATCCATCAATGCCAGGAGCAGAGAGATCATTCATACCTTTAAGGCTTTTCCAAATTTCCGCATCAGTAACAAGAGCATTGAGGCTCTCTTTTTGATCCATATTCAATTTGGGGCCATTTCTCATAGCCACTATATCAATACTACTCATATTCTCCTTAATTGTGCCTACCAAGTGTTGATTCGGTAAAGCAGCAAGCAAAAAATATTAAGTACCCAGTTTTGTCGTCTCCACAGGGATTAGTGCAATTTGAACGCCGTTCAACGATTTCTACATTTCTAAGCTTAATTTCAAAAGGTTTGGTTTAAAGGGTTCAAAGAACCATAGATAAAAACAGAAAATATAAAATAAAGACTGAAATATAAACGGAGCCTTGTTGGGATTGGATTTCATCAATTGATAACATATGCATTCTTCTGATCAAATTAAACACAACACAATCATTCGTCTAATATCATCATGTATCACTCACGACAAAGCTTATCTCTAACGCGGCATCGAGAGAACAACTGTGTTGTCTCATTGGTGATCTCTCACCCAACAAAAACACAACACAGAGCATTAAGATCTGATACTCACGCAAATGCTAAGCCTACATCTATCTCTAGCGTTTAGGACCTAACCAGTAATCATCCTAGATCCAGATCTGAAGAGTATATCTCTATCACGGTTCAAATCTAAGATTAACAGGTAAACAAGAATGAAACCCATATCAGATAAACAATTGTTTTACATAAAATACAATGATCAGAATACATACACACGCTTAACCCTTTTTCCATGTATTCATCTAATCCACCAAATGTCGGTGAACATCGTTCTTCATCACTATTATCACATACCCACACAATATCATATTGATCCTACCCATGCTAGTCATGCTACTTAATCAACATAACACCATAGAAGATAAAATGAATATCAACTTCAAAACCATGTCAAAAATTTGTTCATTGATAGAAGAAGATCTGAGATCAAAGATGTGAAAAGGTTTTGTCAAGACCCACAAATACATAATCAAAGATATTCAATCAATAGAGAATCCAAAATAACTTTGACCTCGCATATGACCAATTTGTGGATATGTCAGGTTTTTCCATTCAAGATTTTGATACTATGGAAATAGACCCTTATAAAACACATCAAAATCAAGCTATGTCTTCTGACTCATCTTCATCACCTCCAAGTATAGAACTGAAGAGTTGGCAAGGGAATGCGAAAAAAAAGCACCAGGTGTAGAACATGTGGTCACTATAATCAATAAAATGTATATTATTTCTTTATAATCAATAAAAAGTATATTATGTTAAACAATAGGCTTTAGAGGGGATGAATAGATCACAATTTTAAAACCAAAATCTCTTGGCAAAAATTTGTTTCAAAAAAGTATGGCACAGCGAAAACAACCCAAATTGAATCATCTAATCGAACCTACTATCAAAAAGATCGGATATGTGTAGTGAACACAAATTGTTCAACAACGATTAATTCACGGATCAATCAAATGCGAGGCTATTTGTAATGCTTATTTCCAATGAACATAAAGCAATAAAAATACTCAATGACATTTTATCGAACACTTTATGTGCGATTGATCACGTTTGAAAATTCGATTTATTTTATTGATGTGAAAAGCCAATCACAATCAAAGTGATTGTAATTATATCAACAACAATACTTTAAAGATAGTTGAAAACAATTTCCAATCAAATTAATCAAAACAACAACAAAATCGATAATTTGCAAGAACAACAATTAAAAAAATAAAGCGATAAAGAGACACAAAGATTTGTTTAGGCAGTTCCCCAATCAGCTTTGTTATGGGTACGCCTGCCCTCAATCCAAAATCGAATTAAGATACTTTCAATTAACCTTATCTTTGCAAAAATGTTTATACAAGAGGTGAAGAATTCTAACCCCACAAACCCTATTGTTTATTGTTTATTCAGCCACCTTCAAACCCTTGATCAACGTTTGATCAAGCCACCAACAATGCGGCTACAGTCCTCTGATTATCCCTAGCACAAACTTGTTGAACCTAAGATTCTTGAACACAATTCATCGTCTCGCATTTCTCCCTTGCAAGGAAACCACTTTGTCCCAAGGCCTTCACTCGGTCGAATCAGTATTGACGTGATCTTGTCCAAAACCTTCAAATCACACCAATCTTGAAGGAAAACCTCACATTGGTTTTCTTATTTTAAACACACAAAGATCCTAACCTAATATTCTCGATTACACAAACCTAATTGGACGTTATCAACCCTAATCTAAATATTTTCCCAATCGAAAATGATTATGTGTAGTTCAATTATGTGTATGCATATAAGAAAGGTTCAAGATGATGGGAATGCGTTATAATCTAGTTTCGTATAGGTAATTCACTAGTACCTTGCTAGATGAAGGTGAATGTATGAGTATATGTATGTGTATGGAATTTAGGTAAAAATGAATGCATGAAAAAATAAGATGCAAAACAGAATTTTTGTTTTTGAAGGCTACAGGTCGGCCTACGAAAGCAATAAGTCAACTTGTCAAGGTGTTCAGGTCGGCCTAAAGCAGGTGACCTATGGACAAAATCCACAGGCTTCAATAGGTCAACCTGAGCTTGTATGTGTCGGCTTGTACTGAAGAAAAATCTTCTATAGGTCGGCCTGAGCTCGTTTAGGTCGGCCTATGCAGTTGTGTTTACACATATAACTTGGTTTTTAATATGTAGTGCATGCCTAAGGCTTTTCAAAAACATTTGTATGCATCCTATGGCTAACATGATTCAATGCACATCTAAATTTTGGTTGATACCGTCCAATATACAAAAACTCTAAGTATAAGTCATACCCTAATTTTAACATCATTCAAAACATTGCTAAGTTGAAGAATGCACTCACATACTCCCCCTTTTTGATGATGGTAAATCTTGAATCTCATAGCCATTTCGTTTTTTTTATACACTGAATATCTCCCCCTAAAGTTGTGCATAATCCTTAATAACTCCCCTTGAATTTGTGCATGATCCTTTTCATAATCTTTTCCCCATTTGATAACATCAAAAAGAGAAAAGGAAGTAATTTGTTAGAAGCATCACGCAAATGCACACTTAACATATAATTTATACTTACACATAGGAAATTTCCATAGAATCAGAGGTGCACTCACATACAACACATATGTAAAGAACACAAACTTAATAAATTACACAACAACATGCATAAGAGTTATAAAGTCACATATAGTACAACCATTAAACATCTTAGACAATTGTTCAAGAAAACCAAGAGCAAGTAGCAAACCATGGCAAAATGAAAATGTGGGATACCAAAAGTCAGACAACACAAGCTAGAAATAAAGTCAACACACTAGGACACAACATGACTATAACATCTCATCAGTAATGTCTTCCACGTCCTCTTGGGACTAACCTTGGTCTTAAGTCCCTGGCAGCAACTTCACATACTTCAGGATAAAATCGATCATAGTGATTTGAATCCTCCTCTTGAGATCTAATCATGTAGTTAAGCCTTTCCATCTCAGCTGCATGGTTTTCACTAACATTGTTCCGAATGGACATGATTCTTTTAGTCGTATACGCAATAAAGGACTGAAAATTTTGCATCTTTAGTAGCCATATGCTCCTGCATTTGACGAAATTGTTTCGTATGTGCAGCATACCTCTCATCTTGTTGCATCTGCATGTTTTGCAGCATGGTCATTATAGCAGTCATATCACCAGAACCAGCATGAACACCACCATTGTAACCAAATCCCTGGTCATCATCTTGCATAGTCGTGTCAACCTATAGTTCACCATGAGGAACCTCAATAGGATGCTCATCATCCATGTGATTATCGTCAACCTCTTTAGCAACAGCATTTGGATCATCAAAGTTAAACACCTTCCTTTCGTTCTTTCCCGCACGAAGATAATATCTTCGATGCTCAATATCCCAAAAGTAACATATGTTTGAAAGAGTATGTTGTGAAAACTCTTGAGATGTGTCAGGTGATTTGTAAAGAAGATTTGGTAGGCCAATGCTGAAATGCTTCAAAATCTTCGCAATCATAGATGAATAACACAAAGATGTACCTTTTTTGCACTTTCACATGGAGAACATGCGATACGCGAAGTAATGTGGCCATCTTATCTTGACCTTGTGTAGTAGAATATAAACGAGATGAAATTCAAGAGAATTAACTCTTTAGAAGCCTCCATTCTTAGGACGCAGAATGTGAGACACAATCCACAGCAAAATTCTAGTAGCATATTCAATTGTCCCGTGGAAATGGGATCATAGTAGTCAGTTGGACGAGGTGCCTTAAGCATCTCATTCAAGTGAAGATTCTAATCAAAATGCTCTCTCATAGTCAGTTGCCACTTCTTCAGTTACTTCCTCATCAAATTCTTCATCAAGTTCTGGATCACTAACAGTAATTCCAAACAAAGGGTTTCACAACTCATTTGTGAAGTGATAGAGTTTGTTGCCTGTTGAGAATTTGAAGCTAGCACCATCTTTTCCAGGTAGACTGGAGTAGAACACACGAATAAGATCCTCATTCTAGTCTTAAGCTAACTGTAGGAAGTAATCAATGTTTTGATGCTGAATTCGTTTCGCAACCTCGGGTAGACACAAACCTTCAACGGTATCCTTTTTCCACATATATTGCCTAACGACAAGACGAGTTATATGATTGATTTCAAAATCCTTTGAATGTTTCTTTGAAACCAAGATAAATGGATTCTCAGAGGTAGTGGTGGATGAAGAGGCCTTGTTTTTACCCTTACACACATATTTGATCTTGGAAGCCATGAGAAAATCAAGTTTGAGAGATGCACACCAATTGTTTGTTAAGAGTCTTGAATTAAAAGTGTGAGAGAATGAGAGATCCAAGAGTACCCATACACTCCAACACAAAGAATAAAAACAAACCAACACAAAGAAACAATGACAAACAACAAACAATAGGAAATTTTGGATTTTTGATGATAAAGGATGAGTTTGGGGTTTATCAAGAAAAATGAAGAAAGAAGATGAAATTTGAAGAAGGTGGTGGAAGATTTTGATAACAATTGATAAGGTATTAATGATGCGATGAAATCAAGCACGAATTTTTGATGAATTTGAGTTGTTGAATTTGATTTCAGATGTTTAAGA